GGCCTCTGGGGCCCCGGGCCAGGTCCCCGAAGTACCGCTCACCTGAGGCTCACAAGCAGGGGTCAGCGCCCCACCCAGGGAGCCCTCAGCCACCCCAGAACATTGCCCTTGATGCTTCAGTGCCTGCCCAGGGTCTCTTTCCCTCCGAGTTTAGCCACGTGTGCATCACAGAGAGGGCAACCTGGGGGGGGGGGCGGAGCTCAAAGACCACACTTAATACAGAAAACGTGAGAGGACCAGGAAGTCAGGCCAGCATCTCGATGCCCAGGCTGGCCTGCACGTGGCTTGGAGGGGCTGCTGTCCAGTGAGGGTAGGGGTGACGCTCTCAGCTCGCTGCTTACGCAGCTCGCAGGGTGCTGGGGCTGCGGGAAGGAAGCTTTTATGGGAACGAAGCTGAGGTCACCACTCCTGCAACACAGAGGGTCATCTCTCGGACCCAGTGGCCTCTCCTCTAGAGGAAAGCTAGGCGAGGCACTCAAGGCCAGGGGTTCGTGGTCGGAAAGGCTGCGTCCACCGGTGGCGCTGAGGGCTGTGGCCCTGCCATGCAGCATCTCTGCGAGCTGCTGGTGGACCTCGGGCTTGCCCACGTGGACAACACAGTGATCTGACAGAGCAGCCGCCTCTGACAGGGTGGGCAGGGCGAGGTCAGTACGCATGGAGGTGGCGGTTTTGTCTCTGAGGGTCCACGGGAGGCCCAGGGAAGGGAGCCCTTTTGGGGCATCCTGTCTCATCGAAGCTTCTAAGGACTAGCTGTTTCCAGAGCCCTCTCTTCCGAATCCTACACTCGAGTGACATTCGTCATAAATGTCAAAGTATTTTCTTCCAAGACGTCTCTCAGCTCTAGTAGTTACCTTCCAAGGAGATGCTCTCCCAGACCTGCCAACGTCCAGCCCTGGGAAGGCCTGGCCACCCCCCCCCCGGCCACACTGTGCGAGCCCCTCGGGGGGTGGAGGTGGCTCCCTCCGGCTGTGCTGGGCGGGGGCTCCCTGGCGGGGCTGTCAGCTGGGCTCGAGGCACTGAGGTGCAGCTGCTCCAGGCTCAGGCAGGGAGAAGCCGGAGACGCTGAGGCTGCCGAGTCCAAGGCGGCCCCTGACGTGAGCGCAGGACTGGGTGGCCCTGGCCTGAGCTCCCCTGGGCAGCGCTCCTTGCTGGCTCGGAAATCGTGGAAGATGGTTCCTTGCTTTGCGCCCTGAGCAAGTCCTTCCAGGACATCTGGTTTCTTCCTTTTCGGTGCTTGCCGCTGGGCCAGGAGCCCCCCAGCAGCCGGCCCTGAGGCCTGGGTGGGGGCCGGACCCATGCTGACGGGCGAGGCAGCACAGCACACTAGGCAGAAAGGGCCTCGCGGGACGTGGGCCAGGAGTGGGGCTGGAGGGGGAAGCAGGCCACAGAGAGGATGAGCTGACAGACCACGCCTCTGCCGAGGTCCGAGGAGTCCTGAAACCCGGGAGGGGCCGGGGCTTCCCCAGTGGGACAGCAGCTCTCCCCTATTATGGGCCGGGGTCCCAGGCAATGGAGTGGAACAGACGGGGCAGGGCCACCCTCCCCCTCCCAGCAGTGCCCCACCTGGGAACACCTGGGCCCAGGAGCGGGAATCCAGGCCCTCCTGCAACCAGGGCTCCTGTCCTGCGTTTCTGCACTCTGAGAAAGCAGCTCAGGCGCTCCCCCCAGGCCTGACTCATCCCACCCCGTACTAGGGACCTGCAGGTGGCCAGGAGAACTCTGGTGACAGTGTGAAGTGCAGAGGGCCCTGGGACCAGGACTTGACACGGTTGGGTCGGGCTCGGGGCTCCCCGGGCCCCCTGCTCCCAGCTGTGTGGCTGTGGTTGGGCGGGGACTGAGTAGCTCTGTCCGCCAGTTCAGGGAAGCCCTGAGGCTGTTGGGAGGATGCACGAAACAGAGGGCGAGCCCTGGTGACCCCCTGGGGCTGGGGCAGCACAGACCTCCTCCCTCCTCCTGGATTCCCTTCTGTGCAGAGGAAGCCATCCTGTGAACTTTCATTCGGAATCTCTGTCAACTGACAATGGAGAGAGGAAACTGGGAGGGAGGACGGAGGACCAGAGCAAGGTCACAACCAAGTGTGAGTTCTCATGGGACTCAGGTCCCCGTGGGGCCGCAAGGGCTTTACCAAGCTCCGTCCCCTGACCCACTCCAGGGCCACGTGCTCCACCCCAAGGGGTCGGCTCTCTCCACCCAGATGCAGGACAGAGTCTGAGGCTCCTCTCCCCAACGAGGCCCCTGCCTGCATGCGCCCCGTGGTCCCTGCTCTTTCACTGCTGGCAAGGCCTGCCTTCCAGCCAGGCCAGCTGCTGGAAGCGTTTTGAGGCCAGACGTCAGTGTCCTTCCTAGGCCTCTTGAAAAAAGAGCCCAGAACGGTGGAAACCAACCCTTCAAAAGTGACTGTTTGCAGGCAACTAAAAAGCTTGCTAAAATTCAAGGCTGAAGGACTCCGTGCTCTCCATGGAAACAGGATGTCACAAACGGGTCAGAGCAGCAGCCTGGGCGGGGGTGGCATGGCGCGTGGTGGCAGGGGACTCCTGCGTGTGCATGTGTGTGCACATGCACAGAGCTGGCAGAAATGGAAGGCCAGGTCACCTCCTGGGAGAAGGGCTGTGCTAGTTCTGCCCTCCCCCTTCCCCCATTCCCACCTGCTGCCAGCTCCCGGAAGTGGGGCCTTCTTAATGTGTGCGAGGCCTGGCTGGCTCCTTGGGGGTGGGGGGTGGGGGAGAGAGATGCAGGAGATGGCGTCAAGGCTTTTCTTCCCACTGCGTAGAGGGCAGAGCAGAGCCCAGGAGGCCTCTTGTCGCGAGGACAGTCGTGTCCCCTTTGACGCTTCAGAGGCCCAGGCAGTGCTTCCTGGTTGGACAGACAGTTCGGCCTGGCCAACTGTCCTCTAGACCTGCTGTGCACCGTGCCTGGACTTCAGATGAACGTTCTGGAGCCATCAAAATGCTTTGAAAATGACTCCTGAATGTTTATTTCCTTTTGTAACAACGGGCAGACGCTTTAGCTACAATTAACATCCAGCTGGCTGGAGCCAGACGCTCCGGAAAGGCTGGTGTTTTCGTAGGTTTTCAGTGTGGAGAGCTTGCGCACACTGATTCCTATCACAGACGCTGGGCCTTCCTGGGCTGCGATAAGAAACAGTTCATCATATAGATGGGTGGTTTTGATTTTTGTAGCCTTTTGCTTTTTGCGGTTCTAAACTGCAGAGTAGTGAGAGTGAAAACCCAGCCTGGCTCAGTTGCACAAACTAAGCTGCCTCCCAGCCTGCATGGATGAGAAGCAAGGGCTGTGGGGAACCAGGCCGGCTGGCCGCTGGCTGGGCCAGCAGGGCGCCTGCCCCGGCCCCAGGCTTCCTCTCCCTGGAGGAGGATGGGACACGTGTTCTCTGTTTCCGGAGCACTAGGTACTTGGCTTTTTTGTTCCCTGACTTGGTTTGAGGCTACTGCTCCCCCCAGGTACCCTGGGCCGGGAAAAAGAGGAACAAAAAGAAATTCAAGGGCCAGGCTGAGGACGGCTCCAGGCTCCGTTTCAGGCTCCAGGCAGGCCTGGCACTCTCCTGACTCCCCCAGCTCGCCCAGCTTTTGACTGGTGTGCTGTTATCTGGGGGAGGTGCTCAGAGCCCCAGATCTTATCACCACCTGTGGTTCTGTCCAAGGGAGGAACCAGCCGTTATTTTTACTTATTATATTTGGTCTAAGAGTAACAGTTGCTTCCTTGGTTCTAATTGAAACTAGGAAACTTACTCCAGGGTGCGTCCTGCCCTCTTGCCGGCATGTGTGGGAGGAAAGGGACCCAGGGCGATTTGCTGAGGAAGCATGGGACACCCGGCCCACTTCACCCTGTCCCTCTGCTGCTTGAAGGGTGTTCTGTTTGCAGGTCCTGGGGGACCGAACTCTGTTCCTTGGCAGGATCACATTTTGGCCTCTCAAATTAGAGGGGAAATTCACTTTTACTCTCCACACTGAGTCCCCCCTGCTCTTTGATGCCTGAGTAGTGTTTAGGGGTCCTGGGCGTAGACCTTGTGGACAGATGCAGCCTGGTGCTGCCCAGTCGTGCAGGTGGCTTTATCCTTAGAGAGCTGAGCAGCAGCGGTGAGGGGAAAGCTGGACGCTCTGACACCACAGCCCCACCCCCGAGACACGGCCCTGGTGTGTGGCCGGGTCAGGAAAGGCCAGGTGGCAGGCTGTTTTCTCAGGAATCCAGATGACACCCTAGGGCCTGGGAGGTGGATGCAGCTTCCCCAAGGAGCTCTGTCCTCTCCCCGCCCCAGAACACAGCCCCGACCAGTCACACACGCGTGTTTCCTGGCAGGGGTCTTTGCAGTTAAGTCACTTTTTTCACTACGTAATAGATACAAACAGTTCCACATCGAACCTCACCCCCCACCCTGCTCCATCAGGTGGAGGTCTGTGCCTTTCTCCCCGAGTCCCGGGGTCCCCCAGTCAACACTGTGCGCCTCCTTCCTCAGGAGGTTTCCAGACCCACCAGGGAGGCAGCACAGCAGTGGCCATGGGCAGGGCCCCGGCCAGATGCACCTTGCGTATGTGGCCCTGGGGCAGGAGCACCCCTGCTCCAGCCCCAGCTTCCTGTCCGTGACTTGGCAGGGCGAGCACTCCCCAGATGGAAGCCGCGGCTTTTCAAAGCCTATTATCTCTAGAGGCCTTCTGCGTTTGGGAAGATACTTGAGGCTCTGGTTTGGAGAGCGGGACCTACAGCACTTCCTTAAGGAGCTCTGCAGCCATACCCTTGCCGCGGTCATTACTAGTGCCTCTTGTCACCCAGAGGTGCCCCGGCTAGCACCCAGGCACGATGCTCCCCGTTACGCGTGAACAGCCTGGGACCCT